CGCATGGAGCGCCGCGCCAAGACGCGCCAAGACGCGCCAAGACGCGCCGCACAGTGCGGCGGATGGTAATTCTAGTGGGACAAAACCTCAGGAGCGATGTTTGGGATTTAAAATCTAAGAACGTAGCAAATGGTTTAATATATATATAGCACCCATATGGGTTAAATTTAATTATTTATCAACAACATAATTTATTAATAAATAAATAAATATAGGATAATAAAACTATTATATTATTCGTATGTGACACAAAAAACCGTACTGTAAACTATTGCTAAATAAATAAAATTATGATATCAGGTAAATCCTTAAACAAAAATTTTATTTATTTTAGTAGTTATTTTTTAATTACTTTGTGATCTTGTGAAACCCTGTATATTTTATTTAAAGAAAAATTATTTTATTTAAAAATAACTAAAATAGTTATTTTAATTTTAACACTCTGTAATTGTAAATTCATATATGGTAAGTATCTAAGACAATTTTTAAAATTTTTATTAAAACTAGTAATATTAATTTAGTTCTTATTAGAAATCATGAGAAATTAAAAAAGGCTTTTGCATATACTCATGCTTTATTTAACTAGAACATCATTTGGATGTTTTTGTCTTGAGAAAAATTGCCAAACTGATTATTGGTGTCATTCATCGATTTTTCAAACTCAGTGTTTTTCGATGGAGTTTCAGTTAAGGTTTCAACGATTACAGCAGCATACCTACTCCCACTAGTCCTAAAGCTCATAGTAGTTGCAAAACCGAATTCTTCTTTTCAATGCTCTTCAATTAATCCTTTAATGAGACTTTATTTCGTTATTATACTAGCCAATTGAAATAAAACTTTTGGGCGTCTACCTGTTAAGGTTGAAAAAAAAACAAGAGAAAATGATCGTAGAAGGGTCTTAACACCTTTCTTTTCTTGGTTACTATAAGAGAGTTGGGATCTAAAAATTGCATTACGATGTCCCACAAAACGGTCAAGAGATGATGTTAGTTTTAAAACGCCTTTTTACATACCTTTGGCATTCTCCAACATAATTTGGTTTTGGAATAGAATGTATGCACTTGTAAGTATTTTGTTTTCGTATGACCTCTACCTGGCTGAGCAGAAAACGATCAAATTTGGTTGAAAATGTATACGACCAAAAAATAATTCATGCATTTTTATATCAGTTGGAATGAACACTATTTATTCTTATCAGTACATATTTTTGGCTTATTTTTACAAACAAAACGGTTCTGTCCCGCTAGACTTATCATCCACCGCACTGTGCGCCGATGGGACGACCGACCGGCAGGCAGATACAAAAAATGCATTATATAACTTTTTAACATAGATTATCGGTTTAAATTGGGTTTAAATTAATACAATCCAATAATTTATTCCCCAACATTATTTTCAGTGCAGTTTATTAAGATAACAGAGTGGAAAGCAAAATCATCTGGTTAAATTAAATTAAATAAGATAATAATACTTTTAAACAAGGTTTATTTATGTTCATAAGTTAAATAATGATTTTTTAAATGAGTATATCGTATTTTCAGAAAGCCCATAACAAGGCAAATAAAATAAAAAAAAATAATACACTGGGTGTCATTTACAAATAGAAGTCAGATTTTGAAAATGAGAGTTACAAGCGAAACTAGTTAACGTCACTGGATTCTATATAAAAACTCAACTAGTCTCGTTGAGTTTTATATTTTTTGGTTTTCACCTTTTCGATAAGTTAACCATACGATGGGATCGAAAAATGCAACATTTTAAAATTCGCCCTGTATTTTAGGAACTAAAAAGACTAGGACAACTCTTGTAGCATCTTTGGTTTCATAAATAGCATAGTGATGTGAAAACCGCATCTTTAGAAGTATAAATGCAATAAACATTATTAAAAAAATCAGTAATTATTACTCATACATACATAAGTTACCTCAGCAAAATTTATCTAGTGTTCCTTATCCTTTATATAACATTTAGAATAAATAGTAATAATTACTTTAAACAATAACATGGTAGAGTATAGCCCATATGTGGCAGGGTATACCCTGTATTTTCAGTAATTTTTCCACCTAATTAATATATTTATAGATTTCTTTAAGCGAATATCAAATTATGCATTTTCGCATTAAATGGAGATATTTAAATAAATTATATGTAACAATTAAATTTAACTAAGTTCAAAAAATTACTGGCAAAAATTTTTCGCGGCGCGTTTGCTTTGGAGTGTGTAGTTTACCGCCAGTCGACGGGAACGACAGGCCGCGCCGCCCGTGATAAAATCTCCTAAATGCTTATTAGACCTATTGGCTCTGAGACAGCCAATCTTAAAATGTTTTTGAAACTCTTTCAAAAATAAACTAAACGTTCTCCAAAAAAAATATCTCTTTCAAAAATTTCTCTTCTAACATTTACAAGGCAGTTATCCCAGTCTATAATAAAATAAAAATAAACTAAAATTTACTAGCTAAGAAGCAGTTTTAAGCTTCCTTAATATCCTTAATAAAGGGTAAGTTAAGCTTTAAGACTTATCGCAAGTACCGTATGATCGAAAAAAAAACAGCGTCTAGTTGGTTTGGAAACGACGATCATTGACATTCCTTATATAATTTTACATACAAAATGACAGCTATCTTTATTTCCATGCCAGCTCTGACACCATTTTTCTCAATCGTATGGTATATCTAGCATTCACATGAAAGCGCATAAGACTTTTGCGCAGTATAAACAAAAGCTGTGCTATTACTATTTTTATTTTATATTAATGATACATTAATAACATTACTGTTATTATTTAAAAATGCTCGAAATGTGCTAATCACTGGAAAACAATGAAAACCAGTATTGGTTTGTATTATACTTGGTAAAACCAGTATTGGTATGTATAAACCAGTATTGGTAACCAGTCGTTTGTATAAATGATTACTGATTGATCATAAAAAATTACGCAGATCAAATTAATCCGATTTACAAACTTGCGAAGAAAGTAACAATATTTACGATGCGCTCAAAATATTGTTTCTTTCTTAGCAAGTTTGTAAATTGGATTAATTTAATCTGCATCTATAATGGGTATTCTTAATTTTTTTAATGATCAATCAGTAATTATCTGTAGTTGGTTTTCATTGTTTTCCAGTGATTAGGATATTTCGAGCAGATTGCTAATTCAAAAACATGGATTTTAAGACATTACCAGCTGTACCTGATAAATAAATAACCTCCAATAAACTGAGATTGCAGATTACTGATAAAAACAAATTTTAGATACGTTTCTTTTTGCAGAGAAATTAAATAACAGTAATGTTATTAATATATCATTAATACAAAATAAATAGAAATAGCACAGATAGCATGCTTTTGTTTATACAGTGCAAAAGTCTTGTGCGCTTTCATGTGAATGCTAGATACACCATGCGATCGTAAAAAAGGCGTCAGACTTGGCTTGGAAGCAAAGATAGCTATATTTTGTATGTAAAATTATATAGGGAATGTCATTGATCGTCATTTCCAAACCAACTAGACGTTGTTTTTTTTTCGATCATACGGTACTTGCGATATGTCTTAAAACTTAACTTACGCTTTATTAAGGCTCCAATCATTCTATTATCGGTATGGAAGCTTAAAACTGGTAACTAGACGTTGTTTTTTTTTCGATCATACGGTACTTGCGATATGTCTTAAAACTTAACTTACCCTTTATTAAGGCTCCAATCATTCTATTATCGGTATGGAAGCTTAAAAGTGGTTAGCGAGTAAATTTTAGTTTGTTTTTATTATATTATAAAACGGCCTTGGTAAATGTTAGAAGAGAAATTTTTGAAAAGAGTTTCAAAAACATTTTAAGATTTGCTCTGGGACTACGTCTAATAAGCATTTAAGAGATTTTATCACTGCTATTTTGATGGCAAACAAAAAAAAACAGGGAAGCGAGTGGCAAAAGAACTAACTTCGCGAAATATAGACTGTCCAATAAAATTATTAGTAACTATCAGACAATTTCTTCCAGACACAAAATTAAAAAAATATGGGATTAGAAGTGAATAAATTCAAAAAATAAAAAAATGTCTTCATTTTTTTCTATTCATATATTTTTTTGATATGCTTTGCTTAGACTTAAGTTGTTTAGTAATTTCTATATACCGGCCGGTATATACTATATCGGTAGACGAAATGGTAGCTTGTGTCGCTTATTGGTTTAGAAGTAGGCTCCCAACCCTTGCTGGAGAAGGTGGTAGCTTGTGTGCCACTTGTGGAGGATGATCCCAAGCAAGTGTCAGCCGCCATGATATTTTCCCCCTATTTCCTTTGGATTTGGTCCCTTGGAACTTTTGAACTTTTCATTTGTAATGTGTCGGAACAGTGTCGCTAGGGGTCTTCCCCACAGCTTCACCGGCGGTGTTTTTAATACTAGATCTCATAGTGTTCCCACGAATTTGCGACATCAATAAAAAGTAAAGTATCACTTTATAGGGAAACGAACTACTGAACGGCGGCGGCGGGCCGCGGACGCCAGACGTCGCTGGGAGATCGCACCTTAAAATGTTTTATTTACATATTTTTCACTATCTCAGAACTCCCCTTTAGTCTCTGATGAGAGTTTAGGCTTTATTTGTTTAACTATCTAGAATTCGAAAGAAAGCTTTTCAAAATTTTAAAGTACTGATTTATAATCGGCGATTTTCTTATCCTGCAAAGCTTTAAATAAAAAAAACAGATATATTAGTTCTATAAACAATTGTTATATTTCCACAACATTAAACTTATATGATACAAATACATTTAATGGATATCTTAGTTAGAAATAGGTACAATAGTTTTAATATAAAAATTATCAATATAGCATTACTCTGGCAGCTATTCACAAAAATTACAAAAAAAATAATGCCTAAGCTATATACAATAAAATAAAAATAAAATAAAACCTCACATTTCGTCTATTTTAACAAAGAACAATTTGCTAACAATCGATAAGGCTCACTTTAAAAAGCTCTACTATCCTTGTCTTTTGATTTTCTAAGTACAGGTAAAATTAGAACGAAAACAACAAATAAATAAACTACCTCGTTCTAGTGTCTTAAGTCAGTCTTATCAGAACAATAATTCCTTTATTACTCATAAAAATGTCTAGAAAGAAAGTTGGACTTGCCTTAAATATTAACTAATAAAACTGAAAGATGTTCCATGTCTCATAAGAATACGATCTTCTATTTGTTAAAATGAAATATTAAAAATAATTCGATTATAGAACTCGTTGAAAGAATGTAAGCTATTTTGGTTGTTATCAAAGCAATATACAAAATATCTAATATATTTATGTGTATCAAATATACTTATATCACATAAATTAACATAGACACACTTATAACCATCTAAATGTGTCCAAATATGATTTCAGTGTTATATTAAGTCTTCATACCTTCTATATTGTAGAACCATAAAAGGAATACGTAAGAACAGTGTTTAAAAAAACACTTATCTACTTGCTTGCCAAAATTTAATAACGGATTTTAAGGTTAGATTGAACGTTGATAACTTATTAAAAAGATACCATAAACTTATGCCCACTTGCACCGTTTGTATAAACTTTGTTTAAAGGCTAAACAGTATAGTTAATCATTGTTTAGCCTTTAAACAAAGTTTATACAAACGGTGCAAGTGGGCATTAAAGCTTCAATAAGCACAATCGCAATATAATAATATGCGATTGTTCTATGCCCTGTAATAACATGTACGTTAAAAAAGGTGGTGAATAGTATGTACCATGATAATTAATGTGATCTAAGATTTCAGTCAATACTCGTTGTATATTGGATTACATTGCTTAACGTGTAACAAACGTATTTTATACCTGGAATTTCTTAAGGTCACCCTATTATTCCTATGATTTATATGACCAAGGCTATATTTAGCAAATATCTGCAAGCTTCAACGCAAATTATTGTTTCCATTGCATTTCTAGACAAATTCCATAACGACACTATCCTCCGGCGTTACTTCTCTCTTGCAAAACGTCATTGAAATAGTTTTGCAGAGGGTCTCCTTTACTCAGGCATACGAGGAGTCTTTACCTAAATTGCTTGATGTACTTGAACGACTGGTATTTGATAATCTGAAATATAAAAATAAAAAAAAAGATAAAAAGAGTTCCTATGAAATATTATATATTTTTATACAAATATATGGTAAATTAATATAACTAAGAGGGGATTATTATTAAAATAATTTAAATAAGGAATATACCTTTGAACTATACCTGAACTACTTGATGACGTATTAGATTTAGGTAGACGTGAGCTATTTGGCCTATTAAGACATTTTTGATATTAATTAAGTATATACAGCCATCGTTCAGTCACGTCATACATTATCGAACTCTCTCAATCGCTTGCCATCCAGATGAAAGAGATTTTATGACGCCCTAGATCATATACAGGGTGTCCCAGGATGAGCGTGCATTAGAAGTTTCTAGAGAACTACAATATCTATATCGGAGATTTTTAATTCACAACGAGATCTATCGATTAAAAATATTTTCAATATGACGGCACTTCCGGAAATACCGAAAGTTAACAGCAACTTTCATATTTTAAATGGGTACCACAATTTTTTATTACATACTTAAATTCTCTGCAAAATTTTATTGAATTTTGATATCAAATGCTCTATACCTAACATTAACTGTATTTGAGAAAAAAAAATATTTCAAATTTTTGGATGAAAAAAACTGCCTGTGAAAAAAATCGGTATAGCCTAAACGACAAATTTAGTGATTACCACAGCCACTGTGGCGTAAAGTGAAAACATGTGGCTATCTATTTCAAAATTTAAATTGTTCGAATGTCACACAATATTGACCGTAGTTGTCATGGAATTGAGCGATTAAAAAATTATTATAAATAATTTTTTTAAATGGAAACCTACTTTTTTTATTTCACCAGTGAAAAGGTTTTTTAATTCGTTACTTTTTGATTATACATGTTCCTATACCTAAAATAAATCGTTTTTAAGTTATTTAAGATTTAGTTTTACAGGGTATATTTTTTGTAGTTTAACCAGTAGCCTATGACTTTAAACGTCATGCCATGTAAAAACTATATCTGGCCATCTCATATTGCCATTAGCTATTACTAATATACGAGATATATTTTTATAAATACACTTTATAAAGTTTTAGCAGGCAGTATTTATAATATACGAAAATCAAATAATTAGTTTTTTGACAGAAGGAAATAAATTGTCTGATGGTTTGACACTTAAAATAAAAGGAAGCTAGATAAAATCAAGAAAAAAATACGATTTAAAATTAAATCTTAGTAACTTAAAAATTATTTATTTTAGATATAGGAACATTTATAATCAAAAAGTAATGAATTGAAAAATCTTTTCACTGGTGAAATAAAAAAAAGTGGGTTTCCATTTGAAAAAATGATTTATGGTAATTTTTTTATCGCTCAATTCCGTGACAGCTACGGCTAATATTATATGAAATTCGAACAATTTAAATTTTGAAATAGATAGCCATATGTCTCCTCTTTATGCCACAGTAGCTGTGGTAAGCATTAAATTTGTCGTTTAGGCTATACCGATTTTTTTGACCAGACAGTTTTTTTCCTCCAAAAATTTGAAATATGTTTTTTTTTTCAAAAGCAGTTAATGTTAGGTATAGAGTGTTTGATATCAAAATTCATAAAATTTTGCAGAGAATTTAAGTATGTAATAAAAAAATGGTGGTACTCATGCAACTTTCGGTATTTCCGGAATGGGTGCCGCCATATTGAAAATATTTTTAATCGATAGATCTCGTTGTGAAACATTGATGTGCAAAAAGTCTCCGATCTAGTTATTGTAGTTCTCTAGAAACTTCTAATGCACGCTCAGCCTGGGACATCCTGTATACTTACGTGGATAAATCAACGCCATAAGTTTAACATTAAAAAATATGTCTTCATCATCACTACATGTCATTTTCAAACCTTCTTTATTGCACTTATGAATCGTTAAATAGGTTTGTCTTTACCGAGGACCTTATTTTGCGCATGCGCATTAAAAGTTATTATTTCCAAAATAATCACAATTTTATACGGTTTAGAAAGTACAAATTATACGTTGTTAATGAAAACCAACTTTTCATTGTCATCATATTGTCATAATTTTGTCATAATCATATGTAATAAAATGGTATTAATTACTCTTTTATCGACAGGTTTTATATAGCCAAGGATGCAAGTGTGTTTAGCGAGAAGTTAATTTTAAGTTTGTGCAATTATATTACTATTTTTTTTCGTTGGACTTTCTAAATACTCGTAAAAATGACTAGAAAGTGTTTAGTGTGTGAAAGTTAATAAATATAAAGGTACCCGAATTATCTTTTCATAGGCAAGTAAAGTAGGTATTCAGTTGTTCTTTTATTTATATTAAGCCACATGCATACTTTCTGGTTAGATTTCCTAAGAATATTGATATTCGTACGGAGTGGCTAAATGTATTTTTGATATAATTTAATTTTTGTGACAGTAAACATTCAATTTATTGTTCAAATATAAGCATTTTACAAATTAAATTTTTAAAATGAATGTACAAATTTGGCGCGTGGACGATAGGTCCTCGACAAAAATAGATAGAGTAGAAGCACCGCGTATGCAACAAAAAAAGAAGATAAATGATTCGTCCTTGATATGTTAGCGACATATCCATATATGATCACTAGTAAATCACTATGGATAGTTTCCATAGTGATTTACTTATCCACGTAAGTACTCGTATATATGATCTAGGTGTCGAACTCTCTTAATCACTTGCCAACCAGATGAAAGACATTGGTGACGCTATTACAGCATTCCGTAAATTGCTGCATATTATTTTTAGTAATTATCATTGTCATTTGATTTAGGGTTATAATTTTATTGACGGACATCGATCAATATCAAAATTTCCTTTTAGTAATTATCATTGTCATTTTATTTGGGGTTATAATTTTATTGACAAACGATCAATGTCAAAATTAAAATTTGATTGTTGCTGTAAAACAAAATTCAAATTTTTTTATTGCAAAATTTATCAAAGATTTAACAATAACGAACAAGAGTTCACTGCTAAGCTTATAAATTAGTATCCTCTAGAAAGAGACGCTGGTAGAACACTCTTGCCCGTGGACGCCCTAAATGAAGCAAGTACAATGCAAAGGTGTAATATTCCCATGTAAAATACAAATTGATAGGGTTTTAAAATAATATAGCGAGTTGCTGATACTTTAGAAATAGGAATTTCAACAGTCCAAAGGATTGGAATTAGAAGGATCGTAAATGATGAAGAGTTCAATGGAAAATGAATAAATACCAAAAAAAAACGGAACTCGCTCAATCAATAATATAGGAACGTACGGAACGTACTGTAAAATTTTCTAAACAATATGAACTGATCGAGACACACCCTAAAACTCGTTTTTGACAAATAATGATGACGTAACGGTGAACGATGACTGAGCAGTCATAATACTATATTAATCGATGCTGGTTTAGAGTTGCCAACTTTCAAAATAAAAAATAGAGGACGAAAGCGTAAAAAAGAGGCACAGGCGAAACATCTTTTCCACAAATATTTCTTGTACATAAATATTTCTTTATTTTCTTTTCTGTACAAACGAGTGCGAGTAGCGAAAGACACAGATTAACAATTTTTTAAAGCATTATGGCGATAGACGAATATTTTTTAGATTTTGAGTTTGGTATGTAAAAAAAGGACTTTTTCAATATGTGTGAGAAACGAGGATAGTGAGATCAAAAAGACGAATGTTCTATGAAATAGGGGACGGTTGGCAACCCTAGTTTAAGTGAACAGTCAATATTAAAATGTTTTCATGCGTTTATAATTCTGCTCGTATTTAGAACAAATATTTTACTACTTTTAAAATTACTTATTCTGGAAAATTGAAAGAATATAAAAAGGCGCATAATTATTTTGTATATTTACCTCCTAATATCGTTTGAAAAGGAAGACTTGTCACTTTTAGTAGGAGAACTTATTTTATGATTATTTAAAAATGTATTAACAGACTCATCTGAACCGTAACTATCTTCTTCACTAAAAAAGTAAAAGTAAAAATTAATAAAAATGCCTATACAGATACGGATAATTAGTCAACACAATTTATGCAAATAAGTTACATACCTCTCTGATTCGTTAGAAATACTATCATCTAAATCACCCTGTATAGCCGATTGCAAATCTTCAATACGTTTTAAAGCTATTTTTAAATCAGCTCTCCCTGTGGAAGCCTCAGCTTCAAGAGCTTCGCAGCGTTTTTCTAGCTCTTTCTTTTTGATTATCACCTCTGATTCTTTAACAAGAGAATTATTGAGTTCCTCTTTAACTTCCCTGCAATATCGATATTAAATTATTAAATGTATGAGACGTTTAAATTTAATACATACCTCAATTGCCTTTGCAATTTTCTAACTTGGTCTTGAGCTTGTTGTTCCTTTATTCTACTAGCTGAAATTTCACTTTGTATCTTTTCTACAGTTTCTTTGAGTCTAGCAATCTGTACTTCTAATCTAGATCTAGTCGTTTGCTCTAGCTCTAACTTCGATTCTAGTTCTTTCACTTTAAGTTCGGATCTGAAAATTAAAAAAAAATCAGCTGACGGAAAATTAACACCACAAAATTTAATGAAGACATTATTATTGAATCATAACAAATGAAAAAAAAAACGATGTCTCAATTTTATTTAATAATAATAACAGCTGCCGTATATAGCGTTTAACGCCTTGGGAGTAGCAAGGTACAGTTTGCCATACTCGAGCCGTTCGGTATACACGGAAGGTAATGTGGCTAGCATTACGCTTCAACCGCCTATTATTACCTCAGGATTGTGAATCCCAAGTACTCATTTAAGGCCGAGTCGACCTCGGTACCCAAACTATTTTTATTTTATTAAAAATAGTCGGCTGATGAAATGCCGGTTGTGGGATTCGAACCCACAACCTTTGAATTGGTAGACGAGAGCTATACCTCTACACCACCGGGCACCAATTCATCAATTTTATTTATATTGATTAAAAATTTACTTATGAATCAACAATGCTTTATATATATATAAGATTGTACTAGACAAGCGATATGTATGGGTCGAGATTTCCCTATGTAAGAAGATTACAATGCATTTATAGCTTAACGATTTAATTACGTCTCGTTATACCTACTTTATTTGTTTATTTAATAACGAATCGTTGTATTTGTAATACAAGTTGGAAATTAAACGACTATAAAATGCCCAAACGTTTACCATTTTTGGTAAAAATAAGTTGAACCGAGTTTTGCTGCTGGACAGTGGTCATTAGACAGTCGCGCTATTAGAACTCTGAATTCAAAAATCAATACCTTGAAATTCATTAGAAATAATTGACTGTAGTTTTTTTAAAAACTTTTTTAATGTTTCTGCTATATTTACTTCAGTCTTTTTTAATGTTTCTTCAGACAGTATGTGAAAATCTTTACAATTAAAAAAGTTACACAATAATTGCTGAAAAAGTTTTTTACGAAAAAGAAACACAGAGAGAGAAACAAGCCCTATAACATAGGATAAAATATTTTAATAAACAGTGCTTTCCATAAAATCAATAAAATAAAAAATACACGAAATGATATACATGTACTGATTTCTTTTTCAACATCTATGAAACTATGATCCCTTCCCGAACACAAACGGTATATTGTGAGACAGGAAATTGTAGAGAGAAACAAGCCCTATAACATAGGATACAACATTTTAGTGAACAGTGCTTTCCATAAACTCAATAAAATGAAAAATATACGAAATGATATACATGTACTGATTTTTTTTTCGACATCTATGAAACTATGATCCCTTCCCGGACACAAACGGTATATTGTGAGACAGGAAATTGTAGAGAGAAACAAGCACTATAACATAGGATACAACATTTTAGTAAACAGTGCTTTCCGTAAAATCAATAAAATTAAAAATATACGAAATGATATACATGTACTGATTTCTTTTTCGACATCTATGAAACTATGATCCCTTCCCGGAAACAAACAGTATAATGTGAGACAGGAAATTGTAGAGAGAAACAAGCCCGATAACATAGGATAAAACATTTTAATAAACAGTGCTTTCCATAAAATCAATAAACTGAAAAATATACGAAATTATATACATGTACTGATTTCTTTTTCGACATCTATGAAACTATGATCCCTTCCCGGACACAAACGGTATATTGTGAAAAAAAAAGAAACAAACCTGTCGAATTTTTCTCATTTAAGAATCTTGTCAAAGATACATAAATGAAAGTTTCAATATCTAAAGTAGTTTTTGAGTTATTGCTTGTTATGTGTTAAAAAACTGAGTTTTCAAATTACAGCGATTACTGACGTTTTTTCATTATAAAAATGGTCACCCTAACGATATTCTTAAAACTCGATTTCAGATGCCCAGGAACATATCTAATGATTTTATGTAGTTATATTTCGGAAAAAACTTTTATCTCCGACCCAAAAAAAGAGTTACCAGTGTGGTATATAAACATTTAACCAAAACACTTAGAAAATACAAATTTCTTAAAATTATCAAATTTCAAGGAAGTGTACCGGTCAATGATACAATAAAGCCATTACTTACCTCTTATACAGTAAATTAGACGACGCACCACCCATACTTTCAGCACTCTCTAATCTTGAACTAAGCTCAGCCAATTGTTCTTTAAGATGATTTCTTTCCACTTCTAATTCCGATACTAAAGAAACTTGTTCCTGTAAAGCTATTTGATCAACAGACATCTAAAACAAATAATTATATAGAAAAGTTCAATCTCCATAACAAATAATCATACTTGTTGCACAGCAGCTTTATATTTCTTCAAAACTTCAGCCAGCTCTTCTTCATTTTCTTCTAACTGAGTCTGAAGATCAGATTTCTCTCGAAGCAAAACATTTGCTCTATCTTCTGAATCTGATTTGTGTCTGTGAGCCTCCTCAAGCAATGTTTGCGTTTCCGACAATTCTTGTTCTAAGCTTTGTTTGGTTTTAAGAGCGATAGCCCGTGCGCATTCTAAATCTTCCAGCTGATTTCTTAATTGCCTTATCATATTTTTACCTAAACAGAGAACAATATTCGCATAATTAATTGTTATAAATAATACGCTAATCTACAAACCTGGTGTTTCTGCTTTGAGTCTATCTAATTGAGCTTGAGTATCTCTAAGCAAAGCCTTTGTTCTCTTTAAGTCCCTCTTTAGTCTTTGTAATAGAGCTTCATCTCCTGCTCTATCTTGTCTCTCTGCATCAGCGGCTGCCTGCAATCGCCTCTCAAGTTCATGTTTCTCTCTTAAAAGGACAGTGCGCTCCTCGTGTTCATTTTCAAGCTGCTGTTCCAAAGCTAGAGTTAAAACAAAAACATATATACAGGGTGTCTCAAAAAGATGTGTCGTCTCTCTTGGCGATATACCTCAAGTAAAAATAGGATTTAATTGTTTATATCAACATAGGTCCGATTCTGTTTTGCTTGGTAACAACAGACGGTTAGTTTTCTTCTTTCGATTCAATAAAACTTCCTTTCATGCACCTGTAGCGATTCGAATGACATTTTGATGATAAAATTATTTTAAGTATTACATGGTTTAATGCTTAACTGTGTGGACAAATTTTAATCAGATATAATAAATAAAAATATGTGCATCACTGACTTTTTTTCATGTTTAGCTCACACAATTTAGCTAAACATGGACATGCCATGGACAAAAGTCGTTTAATGCCGTTAAAAGTTCTATCGCGATATTTTGTCTCCTTCTTGATCAGATTTGGGGGTAGTTATCATCCTTCCAGTACTTTTTCTTGATTATTGACAAAGTCATATGTTAAAGCACTTAGCAAAATATAGACACCCATATTCAAATTAATTCATTCCCCAATTCATTCAAATCGGAATAACGGTTCTTAAAGTATATGAAAAAATGTGTTTATTTCTTTAAAGTTTGAAGCTCTCTAGCGGACAACGTACTTTTGTATAAAGGTAAATTGTGTCCGATGAACTTATTTTGATTCCAAAAATACGTAGTAGTTCTACGTTCAAGGCATATTGGGACACCCTGTATAGTAACTTTTACCGTCAAAATCTCATTCTAATCACTAAGGGCACTACGAGGAAAAATATAATAAGTAAAAAAACGAAAACTTTAAACCCATATCGCTACGAAACGAAGCTGAATCGGATCTATGTTGATTTAAAAAATAAATCTTATTAAAGCTTTCAAAATTTTGCACAGCTGCAAAATATAATTATTACCTTTTACTTTTTTCTGCGCATTACAACGAGCCTCTTCAACTTCTTCTTCCCTCATTTGAGCCTCCTTCTTAGCCTCTTTCCTCATAGACTCTAAAGACATCTCTAGTCTGAGTTTAGCTTGTTCAAGAAGTTGAACTTGTCCTGCTAATTCGTCTAATTCTTCTTCTTGATCCTGCAAGCGTCTTTCGCAGTCTATTTTCTGTTTTCGAAGAACTGTAGTTTCTTCTTCAGTTTTGCCTAGAATTAATCAAATATAATATTATTTAGTACATGTTCAAACGAAAAATTAGTTAGTTAAACTTACCTCCACACGTAATTTCGTCAAATTCTCGCTGCAATGCTGACAGTTTATCTTCCTTCAAATCCAGTTCCAATCGAATATCTGCCAAAGAGCTTTCTAGTGTGTATTTTTCAGCCATAAGAATTTCTTTCTCTCTACCCAACCTTTCTTTGGCCAGCCTCTCTTTTTTAAGTTCGTCTTGTAGCATTGAAGCTTCCGAGTCATATTTTCTGATTAATAAAATAATATACATATTATTAATAGTATAAGTAAATTATTTCATGATAAAAAGGCTAGTTTTATGAAACAATAGCTGAACTATTTTACCAGATAAAATATTTAGCAATACCAAAATTTAGACATGTACAAATTAAATTTACCGAGATATATTAAAAAATTCCAGAATTTACCTTTGTTTCTTTTCTAATAAATTATTTCTACTGCTTTGCTCCTCCAGCAATAATTTTAAATCGTTCATCTCTCCGTTTAACTTCTGTACCTTTCTTTTCCATGTACCAACTACTTGCCTTTGTTCTTCAACTTCTTCATATGCATCTCCAAGCTAAAACAATTCGTGGTAAAATATACAACGGCGTTAAGATCACAAACAATAACAATATATAAAATGTATGTTACAATGCATAACAATACAGCTTATATTATGTAATCATACTGTTTAGCCGACAATAAATTTTGATCGTAAAAATCTCGAGGTAACCGTTATCAGTTACGAATGTAATAACTAATAAACAATGTTAAAACTTCTGTCAACAAAGTATTACACTATTAACATAAAACAAATAAATTTTTATCAAACGAAAAATACTTAATAATTATACAGGTTGTAATTAATGGCAGAGAAATTATAGTTCCTTATGTTTCCATATTATCAACAAATTATGTTTTTTAACTAAAAGCTAAAAATTTTTTTTTCCAAAAATTCCAAATTTTAAAGATATTTTTTTTGCGAATAAACCTCATAATCGTGTTTTTGGGTCAAAATGTACTACCCCTAAAAATATTTGCACTTATTTAAGACTCACCCTGTATACAGGGTTGTTCACCACATACGACACGGAGTATTGTAGCTAAACGATTATATTTTTACAAATTTCAAGTTTTGGGTTCGATGAAGGACTATTAGAGGTACAATTTAAAAATAATTTACAAGATACAGAGTGTCCCAAATAAGTAAAAAATATCAAAGTTGTATTTTTTTAAATGGAACACCCTGTATATTATTACATTTTTAGTTTCTACGATTAAAATAAAGGTAAATTTGATTAAGGTTTATTACACTTAAACCTTACCGTTTTTTTGAAATATTTTCAATTTTGTGAAATTGCAGTAAAAGTTTTAAGGCTTCATTTCTCCAAGGGTGTCAAAGTTTTTAATACTAAATATTTACTGAAGTTTATTTATTGATCAGTTATTGTGTTGCAATAATAAAAATAATATTACCTTGTATACAGAGAGTGTCTAAAATTTATTTTAAATAATTATTAGCTTCAAACGCCAATAACTTGTTTAATTTAAATGTAACACCCTGTATATTTTAGGAGAATCAGATGCACAATTTAATTGTCTATCAAATTGCATTTTTGGTATTTGGTATTTGTCTAGCAAATACCATTTTTACCTATCCCTTCAAATTTTCGTAGTAAATGCATTTTCTTATAATTTAGACCTCATTCATCAATATACCCATGGAATATTGACATTTTATTATTGACACCCACGGAATATTGACATCATATAGTGACATTCTAGTAACATTATCGTTTTGCTAAAAACAATAATGTTGTATGCAAAAAGAAAACTATTTAAATATTTATAAAAGAGTATACCATTAATTAAATATAGCACCATTATTTCCGCCCATATACTAATTAATTACATACTTAATTGTATTCGTTAATAAATTATTCTAAATAAATGTGGAATTGAGTCAGAAATCAATATAATAATAAGTTATCAAATTAAAGTCTTTGTTGTTATAAATAAGCATTTATTAAAAAATTAAATATCATTTTTAAGGTGTTACTTTTTATCACACTGTCTAATGCCCATACAAAATTCAGTTTTTTAGTATTTGGACCAATTATTATTAATCAACGCAAACAGTCAGTTAATGTAGTTTGAATACTGGAATCATATTAATTGGTCCTCTTTAACAAATATTTAAACAGTTTTTTTTATTTTTTAATGAAATAAACGAATTATATCCACAATATTAGTATCTGTACTCTTTAAAAATTTGGTACATCTTTAAAAATAATCTAAAATGTCAATATTCCATGGGTATATTGATAAATAAATTCTAAATTACAAGAAAATGCATTTTCTACGGAAACTTAAAGAGATAGGTAAAAAATGGTATAATATAATTTGATAGACAATTAAATTGTGCATCTGATTCTCGTAAAATATACAGGGTGTTCTATTTAAATTAAACAAGTTATTGCCGTTTGAAGCTAATAATTATTTAAAATAAATTTTTAGACACTCTGTATAAGGTAGTATTATTTTTATTATTGCAACACAATAACTGATCAATAAATAAACTTCAGTAAATATTTAGTATTAAAAACTTTGGTACCCTTGGAGGAATGAAGCCTTAAAATTTTACTGCAATTTCACAAAATTGAAAATATTTCAAAAACGGTAAGGTTTAAGTATAATAAACCTTAATCAAATTTACCTTTATTTTAATCGTAGAAACTAAAAATGCAATAATATACAGAGTGTTCCATTTAAAAAAATACAACTTTGATATTTTTTACTTATTTGGGACACTCTGTATCTTGTAAAATTATTTTTAAATTGTACCTCTAATAGTCCTTCATCGAACCCAAGACTTACAATTTGTAAAAATCTCATCGTTTAGCTACAATAATCCGTGTCGTATGTGGTGAACAACCCTGTATACAGGGTGTCCGAGAAATAAGTGCAAGTATTATAAGGGATAGTAGATCTGGCTAAAAAAAACATATTTTCTCTTTACCATTTTCAAAATAAATTGATAATAACCGAGTTATTTAAGTTTTTTTTTAACATTTTGCGAGCCTCCGTGATTACTTCGGTTCTTGACAGTACTACAAAATATCCACGTGGCACAAAATACATTCATATATCATCTGAATTTGTGTGCATATACACCATAGAAATTTCTATTTCAATAATAAAAATGATTTACATCAGCTGGTCTGTTTAAATGTAGGCCAAACATTGGCTAGTTACTTATCTAATAGAGGGTAAAAATAAGTAGAAAAAATATATGATTTATTCAGCTGTATACAGTGTCTTCGGACTCTCCTTGTTGGGATGTCGAATGTCGATTTTGGAATATTTATATCATGAATTCGTTGGTTCAAAGTTGATTAAAGAAAGTTTTTGAATTGTTTGATGTGTAAAAGTTAAAATAATATTGTGCCAAAATTTATAATATGTGATGTTCGGTTTAATTGATATGTGGGTGCGTTGGATAATTGTTTTTTCCGAAAAATGTTCAATGTTTCTGGGGTCGAACTATACTACCAGATAAAAATACTTGCACTTATTTCTAAGACACCGTATAATGTAAAATATATATGTACATACTTTCTTTTCTAGCTGTTTTTTAAGTCCAATAAGCTGCTCCAAATCGTCTTCATGCTGTTGTTGAAGCCTTCTTTTAGTGAACTCCAATTCCTTAATCGCTCTTTCGTACCTTTGTTTATAAACTCCGTCACCTTCACCTTAAATTTTTTTAAATATTATTGATTACCTTCATTCTTTTTTTTTCCTTTCTTAGTATTAGCTTCAAAAACTTAACATAAATATTTTATTTTTATTAATTAATATACAGGGTGGCCCACCTCATTCGCCTCGGTTGATTATACGAAAACGGAAATATGTAGAAACAAAATATTGTATGGTTATATGTGAGAAGGCAATGTGCATAATTTCAAATTATTTTAAAATGTACAGGGTGTGTCAAAACAAATATCCATACCCAACTTATATTTTTCCTTATGGAATACCCGGTATTTTATTTCATTTTTGGATTCTTGGGCATAAAATAGGGCCTTTATTATAAGCGTTTAATATGTCTAAACGCTTTGGATTTTGAGATATTTAAAGATATGTAAATATGCATGCTGTAATAAAAAAGTATGTCAACACCTTGTACATTACCTTTCAGAATTAATTCTTGTGCTGACTTTCAAGCCAGAGAAATAAACTTTACGAAAAATTTGATTGCTTCCTTAAATGTATACAGGGGTATCAAAAATTGCTGGTATATTTTAAATATTTATTTTACATAAAAACTTCGTTATTTCAAATGCAACACTATGTATTTTTTTAAATAAGTCGAAGCAGATTTAAATGCTCTTTCAAACTATAATAGGGTTTTCTATACCTATCTGGCACAGATTTTGAATAAAAAGCAATTTTTCAATAAAATTGTAATCAAGATGGCTGGTGTCGCCATAGCAATTTTCTGGTGACACTTAGTAGCCATTTTCAAAATCGACTTTAGTATATAGACTTTATTTAAATTTATAACAGGTTATTATTATATAATTTACCTACCAAAAGGTTAATAAGTAAGTATTTATTATTTTACCAAAAAAAATTAAGCAGTATCTGCTGGTGGATATCTGGTGGTGGATATCTGCTGGTGGAAGGAATTGATATGTTACTAGTGATTTTATTTTGTGAGGACAATTGCTTGTTGGCCTAGAGGATTTTAATTTGACAAGCGTTCCTTTGAAAAACTACTTTTCCTATTTCGCAGAGCTGATAGTGTGGTATATGAAAAACCTGTTAGGCAGAAACCTGTCGTTGGAAGTCAAGAAAATGAATTTCTCTTAATTGGTTCTTTTATAGAAAATCCAATATGCAATTATTTTTAATTACCATGAATTCAAAACAAGTCATCGTAATATAAATAAAAGAAGAACTACTTCTTTCTTTTTCTTGATAAAATAATAAATAATTACTTATTAAACTATGGTAGGTAAATTAAATAAAAGTAAATTGTTATAAATTCAAATAAAGTCCATAAACTAATGTCGATTTTGAAAATAGCTACTAACTGTCACTAGCACATTGCCATGGCCATACCAGCCATCTTGATTACCATTTTATTGAAAAATCGTTTTTATTCAAAATCTGAGCCAGATAGGTATAGATGCTTCGATTTATTTAAAAAATGTGTTGCATTTAAAATAACGAAGTTTTTATAATACAATAAATATTTAAAATAGACCAGCAATTTTTGATACCCCTGTATACATTTAAGGAAGCAATCAAATTTCCTAGTAAAGTTTATTTCTCTGGCTTGAAAGTCAGCACAAGAATTAATTCTGAAAAGTACTGTACAGGGTGTTGACAAACTTTTTTATTATAGCATGCATATTTAAATATTTTTAAATATCGCAAAAACCGAAGCTTTTAAACATATTAAACCATGATAATAAATGATTTATTTTATATCCAAGAATTCAAAAATGAAATAAAATACCGGGTGTTCCATAAAAAAAATATAACTTTGGTATGGATCTTACTTCTGACACACCCTGTACATTTCAAAATAATTTTAAATTATGCACATTGCCGTCCCACATAGACCCATAAAATATGTTGTTTCTACACCTTTCTGTTTTCGTATAATCAACCGAGGCGAATGAGGTGCGCCACCCTGTATATTTGGAACAGATTTTGTGTTAATTTCAAAGATAGAGCTGATTAAATATTTATTTCACAGAACAAAGAAATATCTTACTTCCTTCTTCGTCCTCCTCGGATATTCCGTTCAGATCTGACCTAGCGTACAGTAGTTCCATCTCCAATTTTTCCGATGCCATGGTCAAGTCCTTATTCTTCTGTTTGGAATCGGACAGTTCCTTTTCCAAGCGAAGTCTTTCTGATGTTTCGGCATCTAGACGTTCGGCTGCCAAAGTAGCTGTTGAGTGTTCCTCAGCTAAATCTGCTGTCATCTCGCTTAACTGAAACAAACGGTATTATGTAGGCTTGCAAAGGATAGTTACCCATGTATTAAAACAATATTAGATTATTAAATAACTGTGAAAAAATAATAATTCTTCACAGTTTAGGTTTTAAATCCCATTAAAAAGTTGCAGAAAATTTTGTTTGACTTACGGATTTAAATATCGCTCTAAATTTGAAATGGCAAAAAAACCTTAAAAGACAAATAAAATACATACATTAGCGCAATAACTAGTTTAACATCAATAGTGACAAATACATTCAATTAAACATTACGAAAATCTATGTGAATACTGATCTTAGAACCTTGGCATATAATCTATTCTTAGATGTAGATTATTCGAATGCACGCTGTTGAAAATTAAATTGGCAAATTAGGCTTCTAATTTGCATCCAACTATATTTTTATTTGACGAAGTAATTTGGTTTAAAGCGTAGAACATATTATATTAAAAAGCACTATATTCGTTGCTATATTTCCAGTGGCATTCGTGAGTTCTGAAAAGGGCCCCTTCAAGAAAAAAAATTGTTTACTATTTTTAGTACATAAAAATGTATGTGCTTCTGGTGCTAGAAATTAAGTCAATATTTGATCGTATGGTACATAAAAATATCATTATGTACTCAATGAAATACCTATTACTTTCCTTTATTCTGGGCGGTTGGGTAGGTAAGTGTCCCTGTGCCCTTTAGATCCAGTCGCCACTGTCCATTTAACAGAAAAATAATTTTTCATATGCAGCTTAAAATGTATTTAGATATTTCGTATAACATATAATGAAATATGATTAATCATAATATACAAAAAATACTTGTACTTATTTAAAACAAATCTGGATCCAAGTGATGGTGAACTGATATTTACTACTTACACAATATGCCTAGAACAGATTACTATAAATACGCAGAAAAAATAGAACACTGTTAACGGAAATATAAAACGCGTCAAAAATAGATGGATGCTTTTGGGTTTCCGTATACTTGTAAGCCATTTTCTGAATGTTTATAATTATGAGTAATGAGTTAGAAAGTAATATTAGTAGATATGACATTTTTAAGTTTTATAGTTGTTCTCTGTAACGTGGTAAAACTGTATATTTTTGTATAAATCTGTAACTTCACAATTTCAACTCCTATACAAGGTGAGTCTTAAATAAGTGATACCACCCTGTATATATTTTACCATATTTACATACAGCTTAAAATTCTCTTTTCAACGACATATCACAAGATTATCATCTTAGTGGAGGGCCCAGAGACTTTTACCTCGGAATTCAATTACTGTGATTGTATTAATGTAAAACCTTCTGTATTGTGTTTTATAGATAAAATATTAAAAGGTTTACCCATTTTTTTTCGTTGCTTTTAATTTTTTATTTTAGAAATTTATTTTTAAAAATAAATTCTTAATTATTTCCTTCTTAACATTTTGATTTCTTTAATTCTTTTTCTAAGTAAATTTATTGAAATAAATAAATCTAATGCATAAGCTATACCTATTATTCTGCTTATATTCTAATCATTGAAATTTTGATTGAAATCGAATTATACAGGGTGGCGCGTCATATACGACGCTGTTTTTGCAAGGAGAACAAAAATTTGTAGTGAAGTGAAATTTTCGGAGCTTATGTAAGTTAATTTAAAGTATTTTCTAAATTTATGTAGAGTTCTACTAGGTGTCCCCAAAAGAAGTTACACATCAAAGTTATGTTTTTTTGTAATGGATTTTGGATTCTAGTAAAAAAATAAAGGTTTGTTTCATTAGTAAAGTATATGACTAAAATGTATAGTTATTGAAATACATTCACCGGCACGAAAAATGGGCACCTTAAAACTTTGATATATTTTAAAGGTTAATATATTTTATTTTAATGGGTCGATTTTGATAATTTTTTAAGCAGTGTGTTGCCAAATTATTCGACTTCTTAGTATCTTTTTCTAAATTAAAAATGAAACTCCCCATCTGTTAATTATACAAGGGAAAACAAAATGAATGGGAAAAATGGGAAAAAAAGATATTTTTGATGAAAGTTTGAAACACCCTGTGAAATATGTTAAAACAGCAAGAAATTTAAAAATTATTTTATCATCTAGATACATCCTTTCTCGATGGTTTGTTTTTTGGTTGGTCTCATTAGCTTTATTTTTGTTGGAAATATTCGGTTTTAAAGAGGGCATTAACATTTTTCGTAATTTTTACATTAAGACCATGCCTTTGCTTTTGGGCCTAGTCAACACATCTAGTAAGTTCTGGTCCCGAACCAGGCCTTCTTGACATAAGATTTGCTTCATTTAATCTTTTTCTGGTAGTCCGTTAGTTAATATGTACGGTTCTTAAGTGCAATTCATTATCAATTTGAAAAGATGGCAAACGGCGGTTTCTTAGCGATAAACTTACAATAAGTTGATCTTCTCGATTAGAAGTTCTCATAAGAAGGTTCCTGGACGTCCATATTGACGTCCTCATGAACGTGGTCATAATAATTCAAAAAACATTTAATACACTCTATGGTATTAAGGTATTTTTGGAACCAGAATTTTATAGTAAATTCACTAAACTCGAATAAATAAATGATATATATTTGACTCAACCTGTATATCTAAAAAAATATTTTTGAAATGTGAACTACCATTAAACATATATTTTGTAAAAGGTTTGGAGTGAAAATCTCAAATCGGAGCCATCTTGTATGTATGCATTTGTATATGTGTGTGTTTATTTAAATACTAAAGTGGAAGTAACGAATTTAAATAGGTAAACTTTGTAATATATCTTATTAACAATACAATGCAAAAAGTTTTATAAAAATTCGTTCACAGTAAATGAATTCCGAGGTTTGTATCTCATAAGGGCTTAAAGCACTCCACTATGTATTTGAAAATAGCAAAATACCTATATTTAATATGGCGGAGTTTTGATGAAAAAAAAAATTAAAAATAATATCACACCAATAATAGAGGAAAAACTCTTTTGTTGAATTTTCATTGAATTACGAATTTAATAAAATAACTTGATACTGCAAAATAGTTAGGTAAATCTCTACAATGACATTAACTAATTATTTATAAATATATGTATGCAAAATATCCATTTTCAAAAGTATAATGTATAAGTCTTAATTTATAATAATAATTAGCATTGATCAAATTTTTAACAGAGTACTTAAATAATTTATAGCAATAACAAATTATATTAATAGTTTTATTATTTTTTTAAAAATTATTCTTGTTTTAGTTATTTACAAGTAATAAACTATCATCTTAAATAACATAGCTACACAAATACTCAAAAGATTAATATTTCAGAACTAGATAATATGGCAATATGAAAATGGAAAGTTCAAGGTATTTTGTACATCCCACTCGTTCATTTTATTTCAAATTTTATGAGTCAGGAAAATTAAAATAATATAAGCCTAAAAATATACAACTTGAAAAAAATAGCGTAATATAGTGTACTTAATTTGGTTGAATGGATATTTAGAAAGCATAATATTATACAGGGTGAGTCCTTAATAAGTGCAAATATTAGTGGTAGTATATTTCGACCCTAGAAACAGGATTATGTTTTTCGCGAAAAAATAATTTTTAAAAATTGGTTAAGTTGTAGGAATTTTAGAAGGTTAGGTTGTTGGATTTTTTTTAATTTTTAGTTAAAAACATAATTTCTTGATAATAGGACAACATAAATATATAGGTAGTAAATTAAATTTACAAGATAAGAAAATAATAAATTTAATAATAATATAATAATATTAATATAAATATAATATTAATTTTTAATAATATTTTTACCCAGAAAAGATCCAGCGTTTTTCAAAATTTAAACATTTTTTTTTTTGGAAAATAACTCGGTTATTTTGGACTTATTTGAAAAATGTTAAAGACAAAATATGATTCTTTTATCGACATCTATCAGCCCTGAAAATATTTGCACTTATTTAAGACTCACCCTGTAAATTTGATTGAGATCAAATATCCAGATAAAAAAACGGCATGATTATAAAAAAATACTCTTTTTATATATGACTATAGTCAGATAATAACCGACTATAGTCAGATAACAACCGACTATAGTCAGATAACAAATGACTATAGTCAGATCATAACTGACTATAGTCAGATAACAAATGACTATAGTCAGATAATAACTGACTATAGTCAGATTATATTTGTACAGTTTTAGAAGGTCCTGGATACGTTAAGCATGCGCAGGATATTTCGCAACAGGTGGTTTTCACGTGGATTTCATTAGCTGTTCAAAAATAAGTGAATAAGTTTGCGCTGTTTAGTTTACGATTTCGGGCCTACTTTTCAGAGGCCATCCCGTTGATACTAGGGATCTATAATACAGGTCGATGCCGTATAGACTATTTTCTCGCAGAAAAATTTGCATATTTTCAGTTCCCGTGTCCGACCACACTGTAACCAAAACAATTTTTCTGGAAAACCCTATGCATGTCTATGCATCCATTTATTCCAATACCATAGGGCTTTAATTCATCGTAGGAATCCATGTGCCAGATAAATTTGGCCCATAGCCATTGTACTGCCTTCGTCTCAATCTTCCTCGTTTTCTAGCTGATTTCCCACATGGGTCAAGCACTTTGTGTAAGATACGAACTGTTTCTTGTTTTTCTGTGAAGCCAGCTTGAATACAACGAAGATGAAGTATTACATGGATACAGATGGCTTCATCCTTCAAGAACCTCTGATCCACTTAATCCATTCCTTATAAACTGCGATAGTGCATTGGAATTGGAGTAATGTTTCTTGCGATATAAGTTGAGATTGCAAGGAATATTTTTAAAGAACGATGACTTAGATAAATGTTAATAGAATTCATGCTGTTTCAAGCCTAAAGTAAGATAGAATTTTAGCAAATTGGTTAACTTGCTTGTATATACGTATGTTGGGCAACGTAAGCGGATCAGGTTCTTTACATGGATATCCAATAATCTAAAAGTTATTGCTGGTTTTTTTTTGGAGGCTGTTAAAG